ATCTATTAATCAGGCAAATACCAGAGAACAATAAACAACAATAATAACAAAAATTATCGTGGCAGTTTGGTAGTCCCTAGGATGTTTCCTGAACCTTTTCTTGGTTAATTGGTCTTTCTCATAATTCCTCACCCATGACCCCCTTCCCACACTCTTACAGACTGATTTCTTGGCAAAAGGCTACAACTTAGAACTGGTGAATGCTTCTTTGCTCTTCCCTCATTGGCATGTGTGCCCACAAAAATATGGACCAATTCCTTGGCCCAAAGAATAGTATTTCAAGTTCATGATGATTTTCCCCATCCATTAACTGGCAACAGCAGCAGCAGCAGCAAAGAGTCTGGCCAGGATCTTCCAGCTGTTGACAAAGTGGAGTGTCCTTGCTTATACTTTAAGGTTTCTTAATCTGAGGCATATAACCAATCATTTGAAACACAATTGATCGCTAGAGTTTAGGCTTTCGGAAGGCAGGTACTCTATTTTTTTTTTGTATCCTTTATGCCTGGGATAGTATCTTGTATGTGGTAGTCTCTTGATAAATGATAGTTGAAAGAATGCTTGCATGCATGAATGAATTCAGATAAAATAGGCAGCTGCTTCCATGGTGTGATTTCAGGGATGTGAGGAAAGCCTTGACAGCCCTTCAAAAATACAGGGTATTACTTGAAATCTCAAAGTTAATCTTTTAGGTTAAGACTTTTTCAGACTTTTAAATGAAAATTAAAATCCAAAGAGATCTCAACAGGCTGGACGAGTCTAGGCCAATATCAGTGAAAAGAAATCTCACTGAGATAAGTGGAAAGTCCTGTTTCTAGATTTTTAAAAAAATTTCCCTGGATTAGATGGAAGAGATCTATTTTAGTAATAATTCATATGAAAGGATCTAGGAGGTTTTAGTTCATCACAAATTCAACATAATCCTGCAGTGAGATGCGGCCAACAAGAAATGGAACAGTGTTAAGCTACATTAATAGAAATATAATGGGAAAGAATAGTTCTTCTGTCCTCTGTATTGGCCATGCTATGTCTGGTGCAATGATGTCAAACTCAGAAAAAACAGGACCACTAAACTGAACATAATGATCCCTGCTGGCAACACAGTGACTTAGGAAGCCACATCTTAACATTATCTATGTTATATTGTATTTTTATTTATTTTGTTAAGCCTTCCCTAATTACATTTTAATCTGTTTCTGCGCTCACCCAGGAGTGTTGTGGGCCACATATGGTATTTGCTACCTCTAGTCTAGACTTTAGAGTCTTGTTCATTGCCAAATTTCAAAACAGATATCGTCAAGCCTGTCAGTGTCAGAGTATTCAGTAGAAACAATAGGTTTATGCCTAATAACCTTGTGAAGAAAATCACATGGACAGTATGGCCCATGGAGTCACAAAGAATTGGACAGGACTGAACGATTGAACAACAAAAATGATACAGGAAGGAAAATGAGTTCAGAGTAGAGGTGATAGACTAGATTACAGGAGTAGCCTTTTGACTGAGTCCAAATTTTACAGAACAGATCCTTTTAATAAGGGGATTTGTTCTATGAAGTTTGGATTTGGTCAAAGGGCTGCTCTTAAGGACCTAGAGGACCACATGTGGCCTCGAGGCTGCTTCCCCACCCCTAGACTACAACAAGAGGGGAAACTGGAGTGACTGGAAGTTGTACCAAAGAGGAGGAATTGATTTAGGAAGAGAGATGAAAGAATAAGAGATGATGGTCTGAGAGAGGAAATTCTGAGTTCCGAGTTATGGAAACATTTTTTTGTGAATGGTGATAAGATAAAGAGTCTGACCATTCCTGTATTTGACTGAGGTGGAGTGAAAATGTAGGTCACGAGAGCTAAATTAAGGTAGATGCTTTGAGAAGCCAGAGTGAAGAAACATGAGCATGTATATTAAAATCCCTAGTATGAAGGAAGAGGTTGGAATGGAGAGAAAGATTAATCTCCGTGAGAAAGGAGGGGAAATGACCTGAAGCTTGGCAGATAATTGCGCCTAGGATCTTGATAAAGTAGTATGTCTGGATTCAGTGAACTTCAAAGAAGTTTTTGAGTGTGATAATGGAATGCAGGAGATTTAGAAAAGGCAGTGAGGAGTGAGGACAGTACTTACTTCTACTTCTCAGCACAGTGTTTGGGAACTTGACAGTGTCCACTCAGTACTGGAGAGGATGGGTTGTTACAGTTATGGTAACTTCTGAAGGAGTTACAGTCCCATGTTTTCAAGATGGTCAAAGGAATGTGAGATGAGCTCTAATTCAAAGGGAATCTTAACAAAAAACTAGGGTTTCATTGGTTAGGGCTAAAGTGGATGGGGGTAACAAATTTAGTTTTTGGTATGTCATCCAGTTTCTTTTTCTCTTTTCTCATTTTTATAGAAAAATTTTATGCAAATGAAATTGTTTTTCATTGTGATGCTTTTTCTTCTTGGTGCTTGCACAAATTGTTTTTGCTACTGTCTTTGAAGCTTGGCAATGATTCTTCCACATGAGTTGAATTTGGGGGTCATTCCTATTGATAGCCTGTGAATTCTGTCAGTCTGCAGTCTCTTTTCCCTCAATATTTCTGTATGATTTACTAAAATAATAATTTTTTTCTCCCATGCAATTTTTTTTTTTGCTTTTAGGCAATTGGGGTTAAGTGACTTGCCCAGGGTCACACAGCTACTAAGTGTCAAGTGTTTGGTCTGAGGCCAGATTTGAACTCAGGTCCTCCTGACTTCAGGGCCGGTGCTCTATCCACTGTGCCACCTAGCTGCCCCCCATGCAATTTTTTGGTAGCCCAATAATTCTGTAACTTTCTCTCTGAATTCTGGGTTTTTTTTCATTTTCATTTACATAGATTCCAATTTTTTTTCAGACATGTCATTTTCTGGGAGCATTTTTCTTCTGCTCCCTTCTGTTGTTTCCATCTTATATTTAGTCTTTTAATATAGTAATTGTTTTCCAATTGAATATGTTTAATTTTTAAAGAAATATGTATAAACTTGAGATTTATCAACATATTGACCTGAGATTTCTTGGTTATACTCAGTTTTTCACTCATTTCACTTTTTCCTATAATTTATTCAATGTGTTTATTATTCATTTTATTGTTCCTTGAGAAAATTCCAGTTTTGTTGGTAGTCCTTCTATTAGTATTTAATTATAATTTTTGATTATTTTTGTCATGGTTTCTTTTCATTCAGTTTTTCACTCTATCTAAACTCTTTATCTCTTTAAGTGGAATTTTTTTGAAAATAATTTTCTTTTGAGAATTTCTAGCAGTTTGCTTCTTGATTTGGGTGGTGATGGTGAATTTTTACTGTTGTTTTTGAAGAATTAGCTCTCAGTAAGAGGCAACATGTTATAGCAGAAAGAGCCTCAGAAAGGAGAGATGTAGGTTGAAATACTGTCTCTGTTTCTTACTAGTTATGAAACCATGGGTAACTCACTTAACTTCCCTAAATCTCACTTTCTTCATCTACAAAATGGGAGTAAAAATACCTGTATGGTATTTTCCATAGAGTAAGCAACCTTATAGGGTTGTTCTAAAGATCAAATGAGATCAAATATACATATAAAACATGTAAATTTAAATACAGTGTGTTAGACACTACTACTCCACTTGCAACTCCTCATTGTTAAAAGCAACTCACATTTCTATAATGTTTTGATATTTATAAAAAAGCTTTCCTCTTGAAGGGAGATAGTAGAGCTATTATTACTGGGATTTATAAATGAAGAAACTGAGACTCAGAAACTTGAGGACTATAAACTCAGGACTTGAACCCAAGCTTCTCCCAACTCCAAGTCCAGTGCCATTTCCACAAAATCAAGTTACCTGTGTTGGGATTGGTGACTATTTCATACTATAAATGAAGAGGAAAGGTTCCCAAAATTTGCAGTAGAGGGGATATAGAGGGTCTCAATCTGCCAATACAGTGTGTGTCCAGAAGCAAATGACCTGGACATTGAAGACCTTGGAAATCATATCATCTCAGGAATGCTCATGGGATCTGCGGTATAAAGCCTAGAGAACAGAAAACCGGGAGGAGACATATTAGCTATCTTCAGCCAGTTAAAGGACTAAAGAAGTAGATGCGTTGTATGTTGTTTGTCCAGTAGTGAAACTAGGATCAGTGGGTGAACATTACAGGAAATCCAGTTTCATAGAATCACAGACTTTTAGAACCAAGAGACCCTAGAGATTCTTTAGGGAACCAAGATTCAGAGAATTTAAGTGATTTTCTCTAGGTCACAAAGTAATTGATGGTAGAATCAGGGCTAGAACCTATGCTTTTCGAGTCTCAGTCTTTTTGCTTTTTTTTTCAATAGAATGCTCATTATACATAACAAAGAACTTTTAAAAACAATTATAGCTATCCAACAATGTGATGATTTCCTTTTAGCCTTGCTCTCTCTTCATGTATGTTTAAACATCAGCAGAATATAGAATTTTTGGGTCTGTACGGAAAACAAATTTAAAAGTCTGAAATAAATATTTGTCGCTCAATTGTTTTTCAATGGTGTCTGACTCTTCAGGACCCCATTTGGGTTTTCCTTGGCAAAGATACTGGAACGGTTTGCTATTTCCTTCTCTAGCTCATTTTGCAGATGAGGAAACTGAGGCAAATTGGGTTGAGTGAGTTACTCAGGGTCACACAGGTAGTAAGTGTCTGAGGCCAGATTTGAACTCAGGAAGATGAGTCTTCTAAATACCAGGCCCAGTACTCTATCTAGCTGCTGTCTAAGTAGTTGGGTTTTTTTAAGGAAAAAAAAATGGCCTACTCTGAGACAAGAATTAGCTCTTTAGAAGGGTTCTGGTGGTCAATATGGAAGAGGCAGGAAGTACATACAGTGGAGATCCTGGGGCCCAAAGATAAATTTCTCCTACCTTTCCATTCAATTGAACAAACTCATTAAACACCTATGTTTTGCAAGTCATTGTGCTTGAAAGATACGCATGTTCATCATCTGAGTAATGATTTGCTCTTTTTTTTCCCTTTGGTATTGTAGATTTTTACACTGAAACAAATGGGCAGTAACACAGAGCACATGATCTTAATTAACCCTCATGCCCTCAATCTCAAGACCTATAGGGACAAAGTGGAGAAAGCCGTGAAATCCTATGAAAGGTGAGCATTTCTGCTGCCCTCTCTGTGGGGATAAGGAGTCAGGTTTTGTAGATAAAACAGCTTTTTCCTTCAAGTACTCCACTGTAACAGAGAGAAGGTGGACCCGTACATATCCTTACACCCTCCAAAACAAAATCTTATTTCCCTTTTCTAGGAACACAAAGATTCTTTGCTTGCTCTTTCCATAAGCTCATGGTAAGTTTTGGTTTTTCCAGTTAGCAGAATAGATTTCATCATTTGTTTATCTGAAATTCAGGGAGCAGCAACATACAGGGCAAGGATGCTAATATTTTAAAAGGCATGCGTACTTAGCTATTTTCTTTTAAAAGTCTTTTTGGCAGGAAGATGATTGAGGTAACTGTAGTTGCAGGTTTTCCCCTCTTGAAATAGGTCAGTGTCAATATCCAGTCAAGAGGATCAGTCCTAATAGGCTGGTAAACTACTCTTTTATGGCTCATGCAGTATTTATTTTCCACTAATAATCAATTATTGTCATTTTTAAAAGTTTCTTTGATGCCTTTTGTTTACACAACACTATTTCCCCATATACCACCCATGCCACCAAACACAACAACAATAACAAAAACCCCAGTTGTTTTCATGTATATATTTTTTGGTTCTTTTTGGATGGAATTCTCATCCTGTTTATTAAAACTTATGAACTTCATATGTCTTCATATGTTCATATGTCTTCCTGCATCTCTCTGAATTCCTCATATTCTTGTAATTTCTTATAGTGAATGAATGAATTAAAAAAAAGTGGTTTTAAGCCATGACTATTCACCACACTTTGTGCTAAGTCTTGGGGATACAAATACAAAAAAGAAACAGTCCCTGCCCTCAAGAGCTTTCATTCTAATGGTGACAATTACTCTCCAGTAATGACCCAGAAAGGGCATTTTGTTTAGAAAGTCACAGGGATGGTGAGTGGAGCCACTGGGGACTTGATTGAGACTTTCTCTCCAAAAGCAGTGGCAATATTGATTTTATAATGATTTATAGAAGAAAATGTGGAGAGTGGTGGACAGTTGGGGATTGGGGTGGAAGAATGGTACATGTTTCATGATGAAGGGCAGATGGTCAGGGTAAAATGTGAAGCATGGTTGGGGCTTGACTAGTACATTGTGGTATAATAATTTTCTGTTTAACTCATATACCACAATTTGTTTAGCCAGCTGGGTGATCTTTGACAAGTAACTGGTCCATGGTTTCTTCTTCTGTAAAATAAAAAAGGGCCCCTTGCCAACTCTAAGATTCTATGACTTTAGGTTAAAAAGAGTTTAAGTGACTTGTCCAAGATCACACAGCAGATGTGTTCATCAGGGAGGTCCCAATGAGCTAGGATGGCTTGGTTTGCTGAGTGTTTGAATTTTTCTTGGCTTAGCTCAGGAGAAGCCCCTCCAGACTTTGCTGTACTAGCACATCTTGAGGTCTTACCAAACTGCTTCCCCTCTAGGGGAGAGAAATTTTATTTTCTTCCTTTTATCTCGTGTATTTTTTTTTCTGCTTGTTTTCTGTTTGTTTTCCTTTTTTTTTTCTTTTTTAATTATTTTGGGAGATTTGGAGGGTCAAATTCCTATAAGCACCAATACAGACATGATCCTGAAGGACTATGTGTCACAGAGTGTCTGATGTGAATGTAAACTCTGGATTCCTCCAACTACAAGATTCTGGATTCCTCTCCCCCTCCCAAAAGTGTTAATTTGATTTTCAGAGCGTCTAAGAGCTATGCAGAGTGGATCTTCCTGGTACTTTTAGTTTGATGCCTTAGGAAAGGAGTGCTACAACCTTCCCTAGTGTTTGTAGGCCTAGTCTTTATTGTGAGTTAGCCCTATTTGTAGATTTCGGCCAAGTAACTTCATCTCTTTAGACTCCATTTCTTCATCTATAAACTGAGAAAATTCATTGGCTTTAGAGCTAGAAAGTCGGGCAAGCCATTTAACCTCTGTTTGCCTCAGTTTTGTTTTTTGTTTCCCCCCCCCAGAGATTGTAAAGTGCTTTATTGATAGATTTTTTTTTAAAAGAAAAACACAAGACAGAAAAAGGGAGGCTCTTCGCCAAGGATGGGACAGAGATCATAAAGTATCCCCAAGGAAATGTGGGGAGTGGATATCACATAGGGACTACTCCCCTCCAGATGTAGCTCCCTCCCAGAAGGGTGAAGAGGGACACAAGAGAGGGATGCAGAAATTCAAACCCAGGGCCCCTGAATACAAATCAGACACTGTTTCCATTATTGAAGTTACTCAGTTGTTCTTCATTTAAATTTCATTCGTGTCCGACTTTTTGTGACCCCATTTGGGCTTTTCTTGACAAAGATACTGGAGTGGTTTGGCACTTCCTCTTCCAACTCATTTTACAGATGAGAAAACTGAGGCAAACAGGCTTAGGTGACTGGTCACACAGCTAGTAAGTGTCTGAGGCTGGATTTGAACTCACGAAGATAAGTGTTCCCAAGTCCAAGCCCAGCACTCTATCCACTGTGCCACCTAGCTGCCCTGTTTCCACTGTACCACAGTGGAAATTTAACTATACCTCTCTAGGGTTGCAGGAATCCTTAAGAATACTTGCCCGCTGAAAAGCGTAACAATAAACTTTGCCACCTTGACTTAAAGAATGCTTGAGTCTGTGAATTCATTCCGGATGACCCATCGTGTACTTCAGTCTTTGAGGGGTCACAACCTCTCAGCCTCTCATACCGAAACAGAACTACTTCCTATCTCTAGGCCTCAGTTTCCCCAGAGGTAAAAGAAAGAAATTGAGCTAGAAAATCTCTAAGGTTCCAGCCAACACTAACATTTTATGATTTAGCAATTTAATTCTGTCTCCACCATAGTTCTCCATTTTTTGTTCTTCTAGATCAGGTAGGAGGACAACTCCAGCAAAGGGAGATTAGGGCAGAGTTCCTCCTTTTCTGAGCAGAAAAAAAAAATACCACGTCAAGCCTCATTTTCCTTGCAAGTCCTTTTCTATTAACCTCCTCATGGTATGGAGGGTCCATCACTCTGAGAAGGCTCTGTTGGCAGAATGTAAGCCTTGTTGTGTCCTACCTAGCAGGAAAGCCTTAGAATACAGGCCCAGTGACTGACAGCATCTCTGTTTTCTGAAGACTCGCTTGTGGAAGCTCAGAGACACTCATTACCAGCTTGATAGCATCCTGGATGGAGAGCCAAAAGGGATGGGCAAGGCCATCCGGTTGAACCCCTTCATTTTGCAGAGGAGAAAACTGAAGCCTGGGAAGATGAAACAACTGAATCAAAGTCACACAGGGAGCAAGAGACAAAGGCAGGCTCCAGAGTGCTGGAATTTTGGGCTCCCAAAGGCTGTCTTGTAGAATGTGAAAGAATTGTGTCCTTGGAGAGAGGATAGTATGTGATCATAGAGCTATAGAGAGAAAAGATCCATCTGGTTCAACCCATTTGTTGAAAACATGAGGAAATTGAGGCCCGGGGAAATGAAATGAAATGAAATTTGCCCAAATCAAATAAGTAGTAAATGTCAGAGGTGAGATTCAAACGGAGGTCCTCTGAAAGAGCCAGTGCTTTTACTGCACTGATGAAATCAGATGCTTAGAGTGTTGAAGTGAGTCTGATTAGGCGTCTTCTTGTCCACGGGTGACCAGGAACTCTTTTCTTGAGTTTACTAGCCTTGGTTTTACGTAACTGAGTTTGGTTCTGAGGCTTCCCTCAGCTTTGCCAAGAAACCAAAAGAGATTTCTACAAATCCATTCATAACTCTGCACAAACCTGCTCCTGGATGGAAGATGATCTCATCTAAGGTAATTTCACGCATCGGTGACCAAGAGGATGTGCTGCTCAACCACTGTGCTCACAGCCCTGAGCCTTCCCCAGAAGGATGTGTTTGAGGGCTTTGCTTTTGCTAAGTTGTGTTGGACTCTTTGTGAACCTGTTTGGGGTTTTCTTGGTAAAGGTTCTGGAGTGGTTTGTCATGTCCATCTCCAACTCATTTTGCAGATGAGGAAACTGAGGCAAACAGGGTGAAATGACTTGTCCAGGGTCACACAGCTAGTAAGTGTCTGAGGCTGGATTTGAACTCAGAAAGATGAGTCTTCCTGACTCCAGCCCCAGCACTTTATGCACTCCACATCATAGCTGTTTGTAAGTAATTTGTATTTGTAGCCTTATGATCATCACTTTATACACTAAATGCAATACAAGGCTGAATAAATTGTTGCTGGTTTTGTTTTTGAAAACAGGCGCTTAAATCTGCTCATTTGGAAAGCATTTTCTCCAGAAGAAAGAGAAAAGTAAGTTGTAATATCTCCTAATCACTTCCTAAGGCTATAATCAAAAGGCATTCTGTGGCATTAGGCTAGCCCTTAGTTTTGCTTATTCAGCCAGCAAGAAATAAATAAAAGGTGACATTTAACCTTGAATTTGTTTGTGCGTTAAGAATCCATTCAGTTCTGACTTGATTGTTAATTAGTAGATGTTGAATTCTGCTTTCTTTTGAAGGGTATGTAAATTCAGGTCTGAGAGATAACATTGGGCAAAGAGGATGTAAACAACTACAAATCCTCAGTCTAACCTTACATAAGACATAGGTGTTCCACCTCATGGGCCTTCTGATATAGAGGAGAATGAAACTGATAAAGGAAGTTCTCTCCCCATCCTCCTCCAGTCTTCTTTCCTTCAGCTCCTTTACAAAAGAAAGTAGGTTTTTCAGGTAGTATTTTACTTCTGTAATCTGATATCTGGGAGGATTGGGAGGATGCCTATTAAAATGGCAGCATTGATATGACTCTGGATCAGTCAGGAGTCATGAAGCCAGTTTACATTTGGGAGAAGAATTTTCTGGAATCCCTCCACTCCTCACAACTGTACTTGAATTTCCAGTGTTGCTTGGGTTAACCTGAAATGTGAAAGGCTTGTTTTATATCTCACTGTAGAAATAATAACACCTCCAATCCCTTTCTCCATTCTTCTCTTTCTCCCTCTGACCTCCCCATTCTTTTTCTCTCCTCTCTCCTCCTTTTCCTCACCATTCTTCCTTCTTCTTGCCTCCCCATTTTCTGTATAATGCATTCACCTGTACACACATAACACACCCTAACTTCTGAGTTTCTGAAATGATAAAAAAAAAAACTGGGGAGAGAGAGAGAGAGAGAGAGAGAGAGAGAGAGAGAGAGAGAGAGAGAGAGAGAGAGAGAGAGAGAGAGAGAGAGAGAGAGAGAGATTAGAGTGAACGTTTATTAAGCACTTATGATGTGCCTGGACTGGAGATACAAATACAAACACAATAGTTCCTGTCCTCAAGGAGCTTCTATTCTAATTGGGAGGAAGACATAACACAATGAGGAGCTGGAAATTGGAAGGGGTGGGGCCAGGATAGGTCTCTCGCCATTAGACACACTAGCTAGATAAGCAGTCCCATAAACTAACAATTTCCTCTTGGAAAGTTTAGTTTCTGTTCTTTTCGAGCCTTAAGATAGAAAAACAAAGAACAGATGGAGCATATGGGCTACCAGAGGAAAGAGTCTGATTGCTTGTAATAAATCAGAAAAGAGCCCGTGTCTTTTTTGAAATGCAGCTACTGAATTTCTCTCTTTGTCACCCCGGGCCTTGAGGGTAGGAAAGTTTCCAGAGCCCCTTGCTCTACTTTTAAATTCTGCGCCTCCAGAGAAGGGCAAGGGCTGAACATGTGTTCTAGCTTTCTTGGGGAGGTTAATTGGTTTATCAACATTCCTTCTGTAAAAAGTCCTGGGTAGATAAATGTCAATTGATGTGTGATTATAACTGCCAGCTAGCATGTGTTAAGTACTTTGGTAGAGGGTTTTTTTTTTGTTATGGGGAAGCTTACTAAGATGCATCCAATTAATCATTTATTAAGGGCCTATGTGTTCTAGACACTAGATCATCTCTGTGTGTTTCTTATGTTATTTTTTCCACTTAGGTTTAAAATACAGGAGCCAGTTCAATACTTGGAAAATAAAGAGGCGATACAGGAGGCCTTACAAGAGGCAAACTGGCCCATTTCTTTGGAAGATGTGTTATTATTGGAAAATGAGATCCAGGCTGGGAATACCTACATCCAGCAGAGTAAGGAAATCCAAGAAGCAACTAAGAAGGAAAAGTGTCAAGGGGACCAGTCAACTGAGGTGATGCTTGCCCCTGGAGTCAAAACTTTCTTTTATAATCCTCCTCTTTCCATGCCTTCAGAAGCATTTCCTCTTCTTTGTATGGTAGCATAAGATGCCATCTCTTTGCTCTAACAAAAATGAGAGCAGGTCTGGTGTGGGGAAGGGTTGGCTGAATCCCTACACCTGCAATGCACAGAAGGTAAAAGTTGCAGCATTGACATTCTTTAATGTGGAAAAATTAGTCAAAACATATTTGTTAATTATCGATTCCCAAATATATTCAGATCATCATAACTTTTGTTTTTGTAACCTTGCTTGGTTTTTGCAAATGTTCATGGTCTTCAGTCTTCTGGGGTTGCCTTTTTTTAGACCCCTGTTTCGGGGGTGTGGTTGGACAGTTGTGGCTCTGCTTCCTTGACACATCAAAGCTATTCGTTGCTAACAGAGTTTTCATCTACTCTTTCTAAGCAGGCAGAGAAAGCCACCTCTCCCCAACCTTGACCTTGGGGAAAAATCTCTTTTGCAGCATCTTTGGCATTTTTTAAAAGCCCCACAAAACCTTTTGGTTTCCCAGAAATCCCTCTGACTTCTCCAAAGACGTGCATAATAGGTAAGGCATTTCTTTTCTTTAGGTGTCACAGTAATTTAATGTTGGAAATAAAAAAGAGATATTGGAATTTCAACTGCTCCCTTGAAATGTCCTTCACTTTGTCTGCAAGAAAAATCTCCCCCCACTGTATTCTTACACTGCAGTGCTGATTTACAAATAATAACCACTCTCATTTATGGAGAACTTTAAGATGTGCAAACGTTGTTTCATTTTACCCAAACAAGCTTAAAAGGTAACTGCTGTTATTATCCCCATTTTACAGATAATGAAACTAAGTTGATGAATTGTTAAATGTCTTATCCAGCATCACATAGCTACTAAGTATTCGAGACAGGATTTGAACTCTAGTCTTTCTGACTCCATGTCCAGCACTTAATTCTCTTCATCATCAGATTTAGTTTTGCCCCAGTTCCTGAACCTGAAACTCAATTCGTGAAAGTCTTATCCAGATTGGATTTCAGCAGGTCATTCCTGATTAATTCTGCCTGAAGTGGGGACAGATCTTTACAATATCCTACAGAATTCTAAGTTATTTTTGAAGGCTTACCTTACTGTTGCACTAGGAAAAACATTAAAAATTAAAATAAAAAATTTTTTTAAAATTCTAATTAAAAATCATCATCCTTAACTTTCTCTGGAGTTAGCTGCTTCATTTACTGCTCATTGGTTACTACTTTTAGTTCTGAGCTCTTGTGGAAGGGGGCCAGGGAGTGTGAAATACGTGTGTGTGTTTGTAGGCTCTGAATGCTATTTCTTAATGTTTTGTCTTCAAGGCAGAATGGAGGAAGTTTCCTCACAGACCAGCTAGTTAATATTCAGATGAAATGACTTTTCCAACGAAGTGCTTAACGTTTCCTCTCAAAATATTTTCTGAACTGGTTTCATAGCAAGGGATTTTAGGACCTGCAAACATCTGTGTGTCTCTCTGTGCCGTGCCGTACAAATGGAAAATATTGTTTGTGGTGGTGGGGGGGGGAGGAAGGGAGAATCATTCTCCTGTGGGTGAGAAAAAAAAGATGGTGTCAAATCTACACAGACAGTTGGGCAATTGCCCAGAGCGATAGAGAGGCCACAGAAACAGAAAGCTACTTTGAGGTTAGAGCAGCAGCTGCAGACAAACCCAGATATGAAACATGATGCCTTCATGTGCAGCTGTCCACAGACATTCAACTTTACTGTCTTGCAGCATACAAGGAGTCTGGTAACTGTGACTTTTATAAGTTGTTAGTGAGGTGTTCCACTCAGCAAAATTTCTCTATTTTCTTTTCTTTTCTTTTTTCTTTTCTTCTTTTCTCTTCTCCTCTCTCCTCTCCTCTCCTCTCCTCTCCTCTCCTCTCTCCTCTCCTCTCCTCTCCTCTCCTCTCCTCTCCTCTCCTCTCCTCTTTTCTTTTCTTTTCTTTTCTTTCAAGGCAAAGCCTATAGAAAAAATTCCTGTGTAGGAAAATGGTTTTAGAGTGAGTAGTAGGATAAATATTCTGTGTAAGTTTTTTAGAAGTTGGGAGCAATAGGAAATGGTTACTTTTGTTCATTTGTTTTGCACGATTTAGCTTTGTGATTTTGAAAAGGAAAAGGGAATTTAAAGAAATCAGGAAACCCAGCTACTTGAGGGAAGTTTCACTGAGCTATATAGGATGTTTTATGGGATGCTGGAGAATGGACGCTGAACTTGGAGTCCAGGAAGATGGATTCTGATCTTGGTTTCACCATTTGCTAGCTATGTGACTGGGCAAATTAATTCATACTTCTGAGACTTGTTTTCTTCATCTGTGAAATGGAGTTTTTACTATTCAATCATTTCCAACTCTTCATGACCCCATCTGGGATTTTCTTGGCAAAGATACTGGACTGGTTTGCCATTTCCTTCTCCAGCTCATTTTACAGAAGAGGAAACTGAGGCAAGTGACTTGCCCAGGGTCACACAGCTAGTAAGTGTCTGAGGCCAGCTTTGAACTCAGGAAGATGAGTCTTTCTGGTTCCAAGCCCAGTACTCTATGCACAGCGCCACCTGGCTGCCCTAAAATGGAGTTAGCTTAGTTGATTTCTAAGATTTCTTCTGGCTCTAATACATTATAATTCTGACTTGCTATTTACCACAAGTGCTGTATGGAGTGACTATTTCTTGAAATAATAGCTGACGTTAAGCTATGGTCTTTAAGGTTTGTGAAGCCCTTTAATTACATCTCATTTGATCCTCACAACAACCCAGAGAGGTAGGTGTTGTTATTATCCCCATTCTACAGATAAGGAAACCGAAGCAAACAGAGGTTAAGTGACTTGCCCAGCATCGCACAGCTAGTAAGTGTCTGAGGGAAAATTAGAACCATTGCTCTGTGCACTGCACTGCCTAGCTGGAGAGGCAGCATGATTCAGTGAATGATATAAGCCTGCTTTTTCAGTCCTACCACTCACCCAAACTGGCTGGGTGACTCTGGGCATGCCACTTAATTTCTCATTGTTCTAGCTAACTCGCTTAGACTTTAAGTTGAAGAGCTGTTGCTGAGCTGCATTTGTAGAGGGAGTTTGCTCAATAGGAGTTCCTTATACCCAAGAAATCAGATCTTAAATCACAGATGCTTTAAAAATGGAAGATAACTTGGTTTGGTGGAGTGCCATTTTTCTCCCCAAAAACCATTAAATGTGTTGGCATATAAGGCAGATAGGCCCCCAAATCCCCTATACAATTTTCCTTTACTTAACACACACTATTTGTGAGCAGCTCACCTTTACTCAGATGTCTGCTGGTGGATATATATGTACTCTTTCGATGCCAAAAGAATTAAGCGAGGATTCAGAAAGGTGTGGGAAACGCCTAAGACTCAAGGCTGCCGGCGTTCCTCTAGCTCCAGGAAGACTCATATCCCCCCTCCCCAAATCTTGAAATATAGTCATTTGCTGTTGTTAGTAAAATTAATTCAGGCCCCAAACTGAACTTGAGTAAATCCCTGTGGTTAATTCTTGCTATGAAACATAAAATTGATAATAACTTTAAAAAACATATTTAATGTTTTCCTCTTTTTTCTTTTTGTTTTTTCATAAAGACTGATGAGCTTGCTAAGATCTATTTCATCTTCTTGGAATAGGGCACCAGAAAGAGTCTGACCTTTTTTTGCAAATGAGGATTTTTCCTAATGGATTAGGGCTTATCAGTTCACCAGTGTCTAGAGACTTGTATAAGCTGCCAGATCCCATTCATCACTTCACAATGCCTTGTTCTTGTGACACTGAGGAAAGGGCAGGATTGAGGTTTGGAGTTGTTTTTTTTTTTAATTTGTTCCCATCTGTTCGAGCAATGTGTGACAATGAAAATCTGAGATAGTAGATATAATGTCTGGATATAAAATACATCTTTGAATCCTGAAAGACTTATTCCTTAAGCTTCAAAATGAGATGACAGGCCTTTAAGAGGATAGATATAGCATCTATTGACCACTATTAAATCATTTGAGTCATTTCCTTATATGTACACACACATATATCACACATATACACACATATATAATATACACACATTTATACACACACACACACACACACACACACACATATATATATACATTCATCAGTTTCCTTTTCTACTGATAAAAAAGGAGGGCCAGCAGCTTTCCAAAAGGCCCCTCTGATTTGCTTATTACATTTTCAATCTGGGAATGCTAAATTGGTGATTTCACTTTTTCAATGATTAACTCTCATGCGTGGCTTCAGAACTACTACAGTTCAGCAGCAGGGGAGATATTTTCATGTTTCACTGGTTCATCTGTATAATTTCTCCTGCTCATCCCGAGGGGGCCAATCAGAGAGGAGAGTGGTGTGATTAACAGAGGCACAATCACTTATCCCGAGCCCGCCTGCTTTGGGAAGTTAATCAGCTAGGCACCAAAGCCAGTAATTGCTAATCTTCAGTGTCAGAGCTTTCGAAGTGGAAGGTTAAAAGGCACATACAGCCATGGGCCTTGAGTCTTCCTGGAGCTGGAGGAACGCTGGAGGCCTTGAGTCTGTGGTGTTTCCCACACCTTTTTGAATCCTTGCTTAATTCTTTTGACATCAGAGGAGTACAGATATATCTAACCAGCAGACATCCAAGTAAAGGTGACCTGCTCACAAATAGTGTGTGTTAAGTAAAGGAAAATTGTATAGGGAGCTTGGGGGTCTATCTGCCTCATGCGCCAAAGCGTTTAATGGTTTTGGGGGAGAAAAATGGCGCTCCTCCAAATTGACCTAAAACCCTTCCATTTTTAAAGCATAGCTAAGTACTAACAGCTATTTGAGATTCAAGGAACAATAATCAGGCTGCAGGTCTCTGTAACAGCATTAATTTTCCAGGTAAGCAATCATCTAGTACAGCTAGCTTCCTTTTCAGCTTGGGTCCTGTGGCTGATAATCCATTCAAACAGGCAGGCCTGGGAGTTTC